TACCCACACACATTGATGTTGTTATTTATTACCCACACACATTGTTGTTGTTATTTATTACCCACACACATTGATGTTGTTATTTATTACCCACACACATTTATGTTGTTATTTATTACACCACACACATTGATGGTGTTATTTATTACCCACAGACATTGATGTTGTTATTTATTACCCACACACATTGATGTTGTTATTTATTACCCACACACATTGATGTTGTTATTTATTACCCACACACATTGATGTTGTTATTTATTACCCACACACATTGATGTTGTTATTTATTACCCACAGACATTAATGTTGTTATTTATTACCCACAGACATTAATGTTGTTATTTATTACCCACACACATTGATGTTGTTATTTATTACCCACAGACATTAATGTTGTTATTTATTATCCACACACATTGATGTTGTTATTTATTACCCACACACATTAATGTTGTTATTTATTACCCACACACATTAATGTTGTTATTTATTACCCACACACATTGATGTTGTTATTTATTACCCACAGACATTGTTGTTGTTATTTATTACCCACAGACATTAATGTTGTTATTTATTACTCACAGACATTAATGTTGTTATTTATTACCCACACACATTAATGTTGTTATTTATTACCCACAGACATTGATGGTGTTATTTATTACCCACAGACATTAATGTTGTTATTTATTACCCACAGACATTGATGGTGTTATTTATTACCCACAGACATTAATGTTGTTATTTATTACTCACACACATTGATGTTGTTATTTATTACTCACGCACATTGATGTTGTTATTTATTACCCACACACATTGATGTTGTTATTTATTACCCACAGACATTAATGTTGTTATTTATTACCCACACACATTGATGTTGTTATTTATTACCCACACACATTGTTGTTGTTATTTATTACCCACACACATTGATGTTGTTATTTATTACCCACACACATTTATGTTGTTATTTATTACACCACACACATTGATGGTGTTATTTATTACCCACAGACATTGATGTTGTTATTTATTACCCACACACATTGATGTTGTTATTTATTACCCACACACATTGATGTTGTTATTTATTACCCACACACATTGATGTTGTTATTTATTACCCACACACATTGATGTTGTTATTTATTACCCACACACATTGATGGTGTTATTTATTACCCACACACATTGATGTTGTTATTTATTACCCACACACATTGATGTTGTTATTTATTACCCACACACATTTATGTTGTTATTTATTACCCACACACATTGATGATGTTATTTATTACCCACACACATTGATGTTGTTATTTATTACTCACACACATTGATGTTGTTATTTATTACCCACACACATTGATGATGTTATTTATTACCCACACACATTGATGATGGTATTTATTACCCACACACATTGATGTTGTTATTTATTACTCACACACATTAATGTTGTTATTTATTACCCACACACATTGATATTGTTATTTATTACCCACAGACAATGATGATGTTATTTATTACCCACAGACATTGATGTTGTTATTTATTACCCACACACAATGATGTTGTTATTTATTACCCACAGACATTGATGTTGTTATTTATTACCCACACACATTGATGTTGTTATTTATTACCCACACACATTGATGTTGTTATTTATTACCCACACACATTGATGGTGTTATTTATTACCCACAGACAATGATGTTGTTATTTATTACCCACAGACATTGATGTTATTATTTATTACCCACACACAATGATGATGTTATTTATTACCCACAGACATTGATGTTGTTATTTATTACCCACACACAATGATGTTGTTATTTATTACCCACAGACATTGATGGTGTTATTTATTACCCACACACATTGATGTTGTTATTTATTACCCACAGACATTGTTGTTATTTATTACCCAAACACATTGTTGTTATTATTTATTACCCACACACATTGATGTTGTTATTTATTACTCACACACATTGATGTTGTTATTTATTACCCACAGACATTAATGTTGTTATTTATTACCCACACACATTAATGTTGTTATTTATTACTCACACACATTTATGTTGTTATTTATTACCCACACATATTAATGTTGTTATTTATTACCCACAGACATTGATGTTATTATTTATTACCCACACACATTGATGTTGTTATTTATTACCCACACACATTGATGTTGTTATTTATTACTCACACACATTGATGTTGTTATTTATTACCCACACACATTGATGTTGTTATTTATTACTCACACACATTGATGTTGTTATTTATTACCCACACACATTTATGTTATTATTTATTACCCACACACATTGATGTTGTTATTTATTACCCACACACATTGATGTTGTTATTTATTATCCACACACATTGATGTTGTTATTTATTATCCACACACATTGATGTTGTTATTTATTACCCACACACAATGATGTTGTTATTTATTACCCACACACATTGATGTTGTTATTTATTACCCACAGACATTGTTGTTATTTATTACCCAAACACATTGTTGTTATTATTTATTACCCACACACATTGATGTTGTTATTTATTACCCACAGACATTGATGTTATTATTTATTACTCACACACATTAATGTTGTTATTTATTACCCACAGACATTAATGTTGTTATTTATTACCCACACACAATGATGTTGTTATTTATTACCCACACACATTGATGTTGTTATTTATTACCCACAGACATTGTTGTTATTTATTACCCAAACACATTGTTGTTATTATTTATTACCCACACACATTGATGTTGTTATTTATTACTCACAGACATTAATGTTGTTATTTATTACCCACACACATTGATGTTGTTATTTATTACCCACACACATTGATGTTGTTATTTATTACTCACAGACATTAATGTTGTTATTTATTACCCACACACATTGATGTTGTTATTTATTACCCATACACATTGATGTTGTTATTTATTACCCACAGACATTAATGTTGTTATTTATTACCCACACACATTCATGTTGTTATTTATTACTCACAGACATTAATGTTGTTATTTATTACCCACACACATTGATGTTGTTATTTATTACCCACACACATTGATGTTGTTATTTATTACCCACAGACATTAATGTTGTTATTTATTACCCACACACATTCATGTTGTTATTTATTACTCACACACATTTATGTTGTTATTTATTACCCACACATATTAATGTTGTTATTTATTACCCACAGACATTGATGTTATTATTTATTACCCACACACATTGATGTTGTTATTTATTACCCACACACATTGATGTTGTTATTTATTACTCACACACATTGATGTTCTTATTTATTACCCACACACAATGATGTTGTTATTTATTACCCACAGACATTAATGTTGTTATTTATTACCCACACACATTGATGTTGTTATTTATTATCCACACACATTGATGTTGTTATTTATTACCCACACACATTGATGTTGTTATTTATTACCCACACACATTGATGTTGTTATTTATTACCCACAGACATTGATATTGTTATTTATTACCCACAGACATTGATGTTGTTATTTATTACCCACAGACATTGATATTGTTAATCATTACCCACACACATTGATGTTGTTATTTATTACCCACACACATTGATGTTGTTGTTCAGAACAGGTTTTTTTTGGGTTAGATCACTTAAATGTATAAATGTGTCGTTACACCTGTCCACCACCCGACACAGCCAACTAGTAAGGGTTGTCACGTAAACAGAACGTGGCCAAATCGTCACTAGTACAGCACTAACCGGTGTGTTGGAGAGCAAAGCCACAACATTTACAAACTGAGTACGACGTTTCACCAGTAATTACAACTAGATTCATCAGCTGACAGCCAGATTTGTGGAGAAATCCTCCTGTTTCGTTCCTTAAATAGAGGGTAGATGTGATGACGTCACTTGTGTGCTTTTCTTGAGTGAAATTGGGGGGGGGGGGGGGGGGGGGAATTATAATTTTATATAAATATTTATTATATAAATAATTATAATTTTATATAAATGATTATAATGTATATAAATAATTATAATTTCATATAAATAATTATAATGTATATAAATAATTATAATTTTACATAAATAATTATAATTTTATATAAATAGTTATAATGTGTATAAATAATTATAATTTTATATAAATAGTTATAATGTGTATAAATAATTATAATGTATATAAATAATTATAATTTTATATAAATGACAATGGGTATCCGTTTGCCGTTTGGGTGATTTTGTGGTAATTAACGTACATTCTTGATACCCATTATGCAAGGCCATTGTTTTTATACATCCTGTAGATTGTGTGTACTAAAATAGCCGTACCAACGGTAATCCCTACTGCAGTATGGTGACCTGTATAGGCATGGATTTAAACAATGTGGTATTGATGATTTGCATCCAAGCAGCACTAAGGCTGTAGCTATCCGAACGGTGAACGTTATTTTTATTTTTCTCAATTTCGATAGATGCTCTAATTAGTTTTGGCGAGTAGTAACTAGTTTTTCACAGAACTTCAACATTATCAAAGTAAATTGAGTGTCCTTGTTGGCACGCGTGTTCTGCCACTGCCCACAGTTGCATTTGGGAGAATTTAATATTTCCTTAGTGTTCTTTTAGTCTCGTGCTGATCATTCGTCTTGTTTGCCCAACATAACATTTTCCACACGTGCAGTTAATCCTGTACTCACCTTCTGTTGATAGCTTCAGTAATCCATCTTTTGTACCAGATATTAATTTCTGTATTTTATGTACCGTGCCAAATATGACTCGGATGTTTTGTTTTTCCAAACATCTGGCTAGTTTATCAGTTACTCCTCCAATGTACGGTATTTTTAAAATAGTTTTAACTGGTCGCGAAAGGATGATATTGTTCTCGAAAGCCTACGTGTTAAGCTGTTGTTGTTGTTGTGTAGGGCTGTGCATGTTTGTGCTGAGTCTGGTGAAGCGGTACACCAGGCTGCAGTTCTACATGGTGAGCTCCGCTCAGTCGCTCACTCGCTCATCAGTCACTCATCAGTCACTCACAGTCACTCAGTCACTCACTCATCCAGTCACTCACTCACTCATCCAGTCACTCATCCAGTCGCTCATCCAGTCACTCAGTCATCCAGTCACTCACTCACTCATCCAGACACTCATCCAGTCGCTCATCCAGTCACTCAGTCATCCAGTCACTCACAGTCACTCAGTCGCTCACTCATCTGGTCACTCATCCAGTCACTTACAGTCGCTCACTCACTCATCCAGTCACTCATCCAGTCACTCACAGTCACTCAGTCATCCAGTCACTCACTCACTCATCCAGTCACTCATCAGTCACTTACAGTCATTCACTCATCCACTCATCCAGTCACTCATCCAGTCACTCACTCATCCAGTCACTCACTCATCCAGTCACTTACAGTCGCTCACTCATCCAGTCACTCATCCAGTCACTCATCCAGTCACTTACAGTCGCTCACTCATCCAGTCACTTACAGTCTCTCACTCACTCATCCAGTCACTCATCTAGTCACTCACAGTCACTCACTCACTCACTCATCCAGTCACTCATCTAGTCACTCAGTCAATCACTCACTCGTGCAGCCACTCGCACTCAATCACTAACCCACTCACTCACTCAGTCACACTCTCACTCCCTCACTCACTCAAACATTCACTCAGTCACACTCTCACTCACTTAGTTACTCTCTCACTCACTTAAACACACTGTCACACACTCACTCAGTCACACTCTCACTCACTCACTTAAACACTCACTCTAAACACTCACTGAGTCACACTCACTCTCTCAGTCACACTCTCTCAGTCACACTCACTCAGTCACACTCTCACTCACTTAAACACTCACTCAGTCACACTCTCACTCACTTAAACACTCACTCAGTCACACTCTCACTCACTTAAACACTCACTCAGTCACACTCTCACTCACTTAAACACTCACTCAGTCACACTCTCTCTCACTCACTTAAACACTCACTCAGTCACACTCTCACTCACTTAAACACTCACTCAGTCACACTCTCACTCACTCACTTAAACACTCACTCACTTAAACACTCTCTCTCACTTAAACACTCACTCAGTCACACTCTCACTCACTCACTTAAACACTCTCTCTCACTTAAACACTCACTCAGTCACACTCTCACTCACTCAACGCTTGGGTCTGTGTCTGGCATCGACACAACACTTTAACTGTCTGCGTGGCTTTGACTGATTGTGTCTGCGGTCGTGCTGCGGTTCACGAGCCGCACCTACCAACCCGGCCACCCGGGTTCTATTCCCGCTCACGGCCAACACCACCGGTGACGATTATCTGAACCGGTCCTGGGCCTCCCCTAGGTCGACTCAGCATCAAATGAGTACCTGGTGCGGTGTGTAAACATCGCCGCCGGGGAGACAAAGGCGGTCGGGCGTGGTGTTGGCCACCCCCCCCCCTCTCGTGTGCCGTGCCGGCCTTCATGGTTGGTGCTCGCTAACGGCACTTGCCCCAGCAGTCCGTTACAGGCGACACACGGGGCGATCTTTGTCGTTTCTTTTGTGCAGTTTGGCTGGACGCACATCACGCTCCTGCTCATCGTGACCCAGTCTCACCTCGTCATTCACAACCTCTTCGAGGGCATGATCTGGTGAGCACCGGGCTAGCCCAGAACTCCCTCTGCTCTGCAGTCTCTCCCGATCGCGCAGCGCCCAATGTGTGTGTCCCTTTATAATCGCCCTCCGCACTGAGCGCCACTCTTCCCGATGATCGATGCCGAATGAACGGCGACCTCCGGTCCCCAGAGCAGGGGGCAGCACTCCCCCCCCCCGTGCCCCGCCACCGAGAGTCGTGTTCGTCGCGTGGCAGCCGAACCGAAGTTGTCATTCTCAGAGGTGAAGGGGGAAACCACATTTGGTGGAGCGCCAAATTAGGTCGTTGTACGATGTGGTTTTTTGTTGTTGTGCGCGGTCATTGGTGGCTGGGCCGAGGTCATCAACTCCGCTACTCCTGAGAACCTAGTTTAATCGCAACTCAGTCTATGCATCTCTAAGTTGTGTCTATGCATTTCTAAGTAAGCCTACGTGTCTTTATGCAAGTTCATGGATCTCTGTGTACCTCAGTGTGTCTTTGAATAAGTCCGTGGGTCTCTGTGTAAGTCCGTGGGTCTCTGTGTGAGTCAGTGGGTCTGTATGTAAGTGGGTCTCTGTGTAAGTCAGTGGGTCTGTATGTAAGTGGGTCTCTGTGTAAGTCAGTGGGTCTCTATGTAAGTGGGTCTCTGTGTAAGTCAGTGGGTCTGCATGCGAGTCAGTGGGTCTGCATGCGAGTCAGTGGGTCTGCATGCGAGTCAGTGAGTCTTTGTGTAAGTCCGTGGGTCTCTATGTAAATCCGTGGGTCTCTATGTAAGTTGGTCTCTGTGTAAGTCAGTGGGTCTGTATGCGAGTCATTGGTGACCGGCCTGAGACCGCCAACTGCCCCCAGGTTCGTGTTCCCCATGTGCGTGGTGATCTGTAACGACATCGCTGCCTACATCTTCGGATTCTTCTTCGGGAGGACGCCCCTCATCGAGGTGAGGATCGCAGAAGCCCCACGGTGACGGGACGGGTCGCCCTCGTCGGTCGCGTTTGTTATGGGACTCCTCGTTCCTGGCCTAGCAGACAACTCGCCTCCTTCACGCCTCCTTCACGTCTCCTTCACGTTTCCTTCACGTCTCCACGTTTCTTTCACGTCTCCTCCACACCTCCTTCACGCTTCCACGTTTCCTTCATGCCTCTACATTTCCTTCATGTCTCCTTCAAGGCGTAAATAAACCCGCCACCACCCGACACAGCCAATCGGTGAGGGTTGTCACGTGAACAAAACGTGCCAATTAGTTACCACTTGAGCACATCTATAGTCATGCGATCTAACCCAAAAAACAACCTTCATTGTGGATAATATTGGTCGTGAAAGCCGACTGCGTGTTACACAACATGCACGGCCCTTCTGGGAATTAATCATTTCAGGATCATTGCTTCGGTACAAGCAAAATCTTTGGACCGGTTTTTGGCAGTGTCCGGTAATTCGTGACCAAGACGAACGAAAACCGCCTGACCACGATCACAGCCAGTGCAGCCAGAGGGCACCGTGCGCGCGTGTTCACGCGTGAGCGCGCGCGTTTATGTGCGTGCACGCGTTCATGCGTATGCGTGACTGGACGCGATGTTCACCGTGTACACGCGTCGTGCTCTGCAAGTCAGAGATGTGTGATTGTCTTGGGCGTGGCGCGCATCACCCGGGACCCTGGACACGCGCGCCGTCCCATCCCACGGCGATTCCCAGGTGGAGTAGTTGAGTCTGTTGGTGAAACGAAGCAAGCCCGTGGCTAACGAGGAGTGAACGTGTCCCCCCAGGTATCGCCCAAGAAGACGTGGGAAGGATTCATCGGTGGCTACATCTCGACACTCGTGTTTGGAATCCTGGTGAGAGAGCAGCCGGCCGCGTGGCCCAGCCTCCGTCGTGGCTCATGTCCGCCGATGTCACCGCACTTGGCTGTCGCTTCCTTCCTTCTGCCCGTACAATACCGCGACCTTAATAGGCGCTCGCTCGCTGCGCACTGCGCCTGTGCGCTGTGCGTTGTTCCAGCCGCTCGACAAAGGAGAGCGGCGGTGCAGCGGTTCAACATTTGCGGTGATTCTGCCTTTAAAATCAGTACCTCGAGCGATGCGTGAAAAACCAGCACTGGAGAGACAAAGGCGGCCGGGAGCGGATCTGGCCAAACCCGACCCCTCGCGCGTGCCGCTCGCCACCAGCGGCCCGCGGTGAGCTGCACGGGGGCGGTGGCGGGGCCCTCTCTCGATGTCTCTCTGTGTGTGTGTGTGTGCGTGGGGCAGCTGTCCCACGTGCTGTGCGGGCACCGCTACTTCGTGTGCGCCGTGGAGCCGAGCGGTGGGACGGCGGCGAGGGCCGCAGCCTTCACAATGGAGTGCGAGCCCTCGGAGATGTTCCGGCTCACGCGGTACCACGCGCCAGCGCTGCTGCACCACGTCACCGGCATCGTGAGCACCGTCGGGGGGGGGGGTGGGGGAGTGGCGGGGGGGGGGTGGGGGGGGTGACGTGGGGGGTGACGGGGGGGGAGGTGACGGGGGGGGGGGGGCTAGATCAACTCGGCCTCAAATGAGTACCTGGTGCGGTGTGTAGTAAACCTCGCCGCTGATGCTGCTCGCTAACAGCACTTGCCCCAACAGTCTGTTAAGGCTTGACGGGAGACCTTTGTCTATGTTTTGTCTCCGTGTGACTCTGTATCCCCATGACTGTGTCCGCGTGTCGCCAGGAGAGCCTCTGGCTCTATCCGTTCCAGCTGCACGCTCTCGCCCTTTCCTCCTTCGCGTCTCTCGTCGGCCCCTTTGGGGGGTTCTTTGCCAGCGGCTTCAAGCGCGCCTTCCAGATCAAGGTGTGTGACGCAGAGACAAAGATCCCCCGTATAGCCTTAACAGACTGTTGGGGCAAGTGCCGTTAGCGAACACCTATGAAGGCCGACACGGTGGCACACGAGGGGGTGGGTGGCCAGCACCTCGCCCGGCCGCCTTTGTCTCCCCAGTGGCGATGTTTACACGCCTCACCAGGTTCTCGTTTAAGGCTGAGTCGACCTAGGGGAGGCCTAGAACCTGTTAAAATAGTCACCACTGTTATAGGTCGTGACCAGGAATCGAACTTGGGTCGCCAGACTTGTAGTGCAGTGCACCGCTAACCAATGTACCACCGCTCCCCACTTGGTGTGCAACGCGCACACACACACACACGTGTATGTGTGCGTGGTAGTGGCCATAGTGGCCATAGTGGCCGTGGTGGTTGCGATGGCCGTAGTGATCACGTGGTGCGATGGCCGTAGTGATCACGTGGTGTGATGGCCGTAGTGATCACGTGGTGTGATGGCCGTAGTGATCACGTGGTGCGGCCTGCAGGACTTCTCGAGCAGCATTCCGGGCCACGGCGGAATCGTGGACCGCGTGGACTGCCAGTACGTGGTGGGCACCTTCACCCACGTCTACATCAGCACCTTCATCCGGTGAGGGCGCGGCGCCACCTCCCCTACCCAGCAGAGGGGGCCCCGGAAAGTAATGGAGGTCGGGGTGGGGGTCACTCACCGGCTGTCGAGACTCCCTCACAACCACCCGTGGGTGGCAAGGGCACCCACCTCCTGGCTTGCCAGGGTGCGATGGGAGTACGGCAAGTGGGTTGATTTCAGGGGGGGGGCTCTGGATTTGAACGGTTGAACCTCTCGTGAAGACGACGCTGATTGTGTCGCCACCTCTGCTTCTCCCCGCAGGGCTCCAAACGTGAATAAAATTATTCAGCAACTTCTGACGTTGAAGCCCGAGCAGCAACTGCAGATTTTCAACCAACTCAAGGATCAGCTTCTCAGCAGGGGTCTCATTTGACCACCACGTGGCTCCTGGTTGAGGAGGCTTTAAACTCAACTACATACAAACACCACAACCACCACCTCCACAACTCTCCTCTTTTCTCCAAATTCCGAGGAGCACCAGGGGCAAGCCCTCATCCCATGCCCCTCCCCACTCAAGGACACCGTCTCAGCTGGGGTTATGGGCCTTCTTCTCCAGCACGGGAGCGAGTATTTCTCTCTCTCTCTCTCACTCGCTCGCTCTCGCAGCGTCGATAAATTTCAGAAGGAAGTTTCTGAGTTTTGGTCAGCGAAACAAGATGAAGAGTGAGGAGGAAACACCGCCGTTGCGATGCTGTCTCCTGGGAGCACGATGCCCGGCCCTGGGGGGGGGGGTCCGCGTTTGTCACCCGGAGTGGCGATGCCCTCAAGGTCGGCGGTCCGTCAGAAAGATGATGTTATATTTGTCTCACAACACACCAGATGGGTTGTCATTCATAATAAGATATTTTCGGGTGAGGCCACGAAGTGATCTGGCCAGATTTATCTCGGAAGATCTCCCCCCCCCCCACCACCACACGACACGGCCAAGCAAATGAAGTTGTCACGTGGTGTGCAGACGTTTCATGACGTGCCGACTATAGCGTACCTGTCAACCCCTTATTAGTGCCTACCTTATTACAGACCAATTCAGGCCTTATTTGTCACCCCGTGCCCTTAAAAGTTCAACGTTCATCCTACAAAGTCCCATCAAAAGGGAGAAACACAAATAGACAAACTAAATGTTCCCCGTGTTGAAACGGCTGTGCGCCGTATGGACCTGAAAACTCAATTTCCTTGTGCAAGAATACGGGTGGGTAAACCGCATGGGTTGACAGCTCTGCTATAATTTGTTCACCTCGCTCAGCGGCGAGGTGCGGAGGACGAGCCTCACGGCCACATTCAGCGGTGAGATCTGCGACGATTCTCTCGAAGCTGCCCCGAGCATCCTTGGGGCCTGGGTTGACGGTGGCCTGGGTTGACGGTGGCCTGGGTTGACGGTGGCCTGGGTTGACGGGGGCCTGGGTTGACGGTGGCCTGGGTTGATTGTGGCCTGGGTTGACTGTGGCCTGGGTTGACTGTGGCCTGGGTTGACGGTGGCCTGGGTTGACGGGGGCCTGGGTTGACTGTGGCCTGGGTTGACTGTGGCCTGGGTTGATGGTGGCCTGGGTTGACGGGGGCCTGGGTTGACGGGGGCATGAGTTGACTGTGGCCTGGGTTGACGGGGGCCTGGGTTGACGGTGGCCTGGGTTGACGGTGGCCTGGGTTGACGGTGACCTGGGTTGACGGTGGCCTGGGTTGACGGTTTCACATCCGGTATTTTTTTCCGTGCGGGAAAATTGACGCGACAATGTGCGCGTGCATCACTGTGGTCAGAGCAGTTGACTCGTCATCCAGAAGCCACGAATTCAAGTCCCCGGCCAGGGGTCAGCAGCTGAGGAGGTGCAACCAATGCCGAATGAAGCTAGTGCGGGGCTTGTAGCATGATGTTATAAAGGGGCCTTAAATATAAAACATTAAAACACAATTTTTTTCACTTGTATAGTAAAGTAATTGTATTTTTTCATTTGCTATACAGCCAGATCATACGATATCGCTAACATTAAACAGCCAGTCGTTCATAAAAGTTGAAGGCGGTATAGTACTATAGTAATAGAGCAAGTGCAGAATCACTGAACCGGAATTGATAGCTTGAAAGCGTTTAGCGCGGGGCCCTTGAAAGTGCGGGGCCCGTAGCACGTGCAGCTACTACACAAGTAGCTATTTGTGCTCCTGGGATCATCTGGTACTGGGTGCAGCAGCTGGGCAGGCGCGCACCTCGGGTTCAGGGTCACGAGATGCGTGGAGGATCGCCCCCACTTTTATGATTTGTGACGATGGTAAATTATGGTAAACGAAGTGAGGCGATGTTAAACAATGGTAAATGATGTGTAATGATGGTAAAATGTTGTTTGCTCGGAATCACAGGAGCTACCAAAATAAAACCGAACGGAGTTTTCACCAGAATTGGTTGATGTGCATCCGTAGTGTAAAGACGAGACAATCCAAAATCGTCACTAAACCATGGGGTAGTCTATTTACTACGATGACCATTTTATCAGGTGTAAGGCCCACTGAGCTATGTAGCTCCATTTCAGAAGCGACCTGGACATCACAAATGAAAGCTCAACGAAGTGGCTCATCCTCACGTGGAAATGTAAAGCGGTCAAATACTCTAAAAGCGTGATGTTAATTCTAAATGGGTAAGGAAAAAACCGGAGGACCCGGAGAAAAATCCACGTGGCAACACACAAACTCCAAATATACAGCAGCAGGGGTCGGAATCGAACCCACGACCTCCTGTGTACTGGGCGAGGTAGTTAACATCTCACCGCCGTGGCGCTCGCTGCTGAACGAAGGCTTCACCAAACCGTCTCCATGTAACAATGCTGCGATGTGACAACCCATCGAGACCCTGCGCGCACGCGCGGATTTCGTCGCTCCGTCTCCGCAGCGGACGCGTCCTCGGACGCCGCCTCTCCCCTCCTTGGCTGCCACTCCGTGGTGGGGCTCGACCCCCGGACATCACCCTGCCCGGGCCGCTCGCTCGGTCTTCTTCACAGTCCGCGGTCGTCGCTTGGTAAAGACCCCGACAATTGTGACTTCGTGGATATTTGCTGGGGGAAATGCAGTTTAGATACCTTGTGATGTATGGCCCGATTTAAAGCGTACTGTGGCGGTTGAGATCGCTGGCCAAAGACAAAGATCCCCCGTGTAGCCTCTAAAAGACTGGAGGGCAAGTTCTGTTAGTAGCGGCACCTAAGAAGGCTGTTACGTCACACGAGGGGGTGGTTGGCCAGCACCACGCTGGCCAACCACCCCCTCGTGGCCAACCCCCCCCCACACTCACCACCCCTCCCCCTGCAGGACAGACTGCCACTCCCGCCATAGTAACGTAGCATTTCCACCAATGGGATCGTCAGAAGGGTCCCACCCAAATTCCTCATTTGAAAAGGGAGGCATGATCGACTTGACCTGAATAATTTAATCAAACCATCAACGCTATCGGCCGGCGTTATGTATGCGTGTGTACGTCACGAAGTAACACACACGTGCGCGCGCGTCACGTGTCCCGTCAACTCCGTAATCGGACGCATAGTGAGTGACATGGAGGCTCGTGGTGGCGATGATCATGATGATTGGTGGTGGTTATAGTTGCACCTAACGCGCGGCCGACAGCAAGACTTGCAGCCTCCACACACAGTAGGGGAGTAAGGACGCATCGATTCACCAATTACAATCGATTATTTTCTCTTTGCGACGTCATTAGTTTAGCACTAGAGGCGCTACAGCAATTAACACTAAGCTAAATAAATAATCGACCAATTAATCGACTCGCAACTCGGCGAAGGAGGCGGATATCGTTCGAGGACGCGTTATGCAGCAGCAGCAGAAACTTATCTCGAGTCTCCCTCGTGCCGTGACTCCCATCGCTGGAGGACAAGACGAGCAGAGAGCACCACCGCGTGTGACGGTCTGGGCGGCATCAACACGTGCCGTGCCGCGCCCGCCTTACACGGGTGCTCGCTCACACCACTTGGCCCCAACAGTCTGGGTTCAAGCTGTAAGTGTGGGGTAGGGGAGGGGGGAGGTCTTTGTCTTTGATGGTGTTTTATGGTGGTAGCGGTGAGGGAAGTGGTGATTGTGGTGGTGGTGGTGGCGAGGGTGGCGATGTTCAGGACAAGTCGTGATCAGGACAAGCCGTGACGTGAGCACACGCGAGCCGCACCACCCACACTACCCGCACCACTACCCACACTACCCACACCATTACCCACACTACCACCCACACTACCCGCACCACTACCCACACTACCTGCACCACCCGCACCACCACCCGCACTACCCACACCACACGCACTACCCACACCACCACCCACACTACCCGCACCACCACCCACACTACCCGCACCACTAACCACACTACCTGCACCACCCGCACCACCACCCGCTCCACTCGCACCACCACCCGCACTAACCACACCACCGGCACTACCCACACCACCCACACACTTGTCCAGACACAACTCGAACCCAACAATTCACAGCTCCCGCGTCGCGGCGCGCCCCGGTGCCCAAGAGCGACTTGCATCAACGCTGCCGAGCGCGTGCACTTCCTATGGGAGGGCTGTTATTGGTGGTGGCCGACGGATTTGTGTAGTAATAAGGCGTGTCAGAGGAGATGGAGGAGAGTGCGTGGAGGGGAGTAGAGTGAGACAGGGGAGTGTGGAGGGGTGTAGAGTGAGATGAGAGGGGAGAGACAGGAGACTATGGAGGGGAGTGGAGTGAGATGAGAGGTAGGAGAGTGCGTGGGCAAGGCATCTCTGCGACTGAAGGGAAAGGCAACTAGTATATGGTTGATATTTTACTGTTAATTTACGAAACGATATTCATACTCTGGTTCTTTCGGTAAAGTCACGCAGATATAAGAAAAAAATAATAAATGAAAACACGACGTTTCGGTCGCAACACAAGCGGCCGTCTTCAGGTGAGAAAATTTTATTATAAATTATATTTTTTCTCACCTGAAGACGGCCGCTTGTGTTGCGACCGAAACTTGTTTTCATTCATTATTTTTTCTACCTACGTGACTTTACCGAAAGAACCAAAGAGTATAGATTCCTGCAGTCACGAAAGCTTCAAATCAAGATTGAAAGGGTATTCGTTGAAAACATAAAACCAGTGGTGTCATGAAGATGGCATTTGACGATGTAGGATGTCAGTCACCCCGCAGTGCGAAATCATCAAATACGTGAAGGATTGAGACGACTCGCCTGAACCACAACAGTGCAGACCGAGGCGTAAGTGTCCAACACCACAAAGTGAACAAAAGCACTCAGCCATTTACGCAAAAACCATTAACAGTGTCCTGAAGAAGTGCATTGTGGGGTTCTCTTGTCAAAGGTCACCATCCAATACATTTGATACAACAATTACTTGACGGTAACCCAAGCGAACCACCTTGTAGTTCTTCGGGAAACTTAATAGCCATTGCACGATGTACAACAGCGGACTACTTTTGTATACGTTCCTGTGCGTTGTGTGAATTGAGCGGAGCATGCGCGTCTGATTTTACGTACACGGCGACACAAAAAAAAATATCCCCCGTCTGGCCTTAACAGACTGTAGGGGCAAGTGCTGTTAGCGAGCACCTATGAAGGCCGGCACGGCACACGAGGGGGTGGGTGGCCAACACCACGCCCGGCCGCCTTTGTCTCCCCAGTGGCGATGTTTACACAGCGCACCAGGTACTCATGTGAGGCTGAGTCGACCTAGGGGAGGCACAGGGCCGGTTCAGATAATCGTCACCGATGTTGGCCGTGAGCGGGAATCGAACCTGAGTTGCCAGGTTCGTAGCGGAGCGCGCTAACCGCTACACTACCGCTCCCCACGGAGACACAAACACCATAGGGGCCGTCCATAAATGACGTCACGCACCAAGGGGGATCAGAGATTTGTGACGATTTGTGACGAGAGGGGGGGGGGTGAGAAATGTGACGCCACATAAAAATGCGCAACTTTAAATATAAAGAACACTTTTTACTTGATTGAATATAATTGTTACAACACTAATTTTGATTAATTTTCATTATTAACTATTTGATTATTTAAGTTTAATAAGGTCACCTTTTATTTATTCCATGAAGGAGCATTTTTGTTTCTCCATCAGAGAATGGAGAAGCATAAATC